ATTGGCATCAGGTCTCATTATTCCGAATGATTCTATGCACGCGAGAACGACTGCGAATTCTGTGTATTTTTTTTTTTTTATCTTTTCTTTTCGCTTTGTAGAGGCTCACATGCAAAATCTATAATCAGAAAAAAAGGAAAATAGAGAGAAAAAATAGAAAATCGAAGAGATAGAATCTACCCCCTGAAAGAGCACTCCTCGCCCCTCCCCAAAAACCCCCCACCCACCCCCCTCCCTTTCTCCTTCCTCCTATGCCCCCTTCTCCCCTTCCCCCTTCCCCCCCCCCAGCATACACACTCTGAAAGGAAGAACTATAGCAATTATACATATTCAAGTTCCTCTCTATATTTCTGCCCGACGTCTGTATATAATTGAGATTTGAATTTATTGACTTTAATTTCTAGATCATCTAGTCGTCCGGCGGGGGGCATGGCGGGGGGGCCGAAGGGCAGGGAAGAAAGGGGGGGGGGGATAGGAGAATAGGAGACGGGGACAGCGGAGATAGGCGGTGAGGGGGGGTGGAGGGAAGAAAGACAGAAGGAGGGAGGAAGAGAAATAGAAGAAGAGAAGTGGAGAGAGATGGGTTAGGAGGCAGAAGGGGGGAGAGGACACGAAGAGGAGGAATGAGAAGGGGGGGTGGGGGAGAAGAGAACCTAGAGAGAGCATGAAATACATATGGATTCAATACACTGTGGAGAGACGGGTGGTCCGGGCGGGCGGTGTGTAAATAATCAATAAATATTGAGCATTATATCGCCGGTGGGAATTAAATCTCAGAATGATAATGTCCCGATCCAAACAGAGGGCGTTTATGCCTGTTCGTCTTAAATTACGAGTTGGATGCCGATGATAGAACGCCCCCTACCCCCCCCCCCTCAAACCCCACCGTCAACCCCCTCCTGTTCGAGAGAGAGAAAAAAAATCACCTGCAACAATACAAAACAATAAACCAATCACCAGGACATTAATAAACAAATCCTCCCCCCCCAGCATACACACTCTGAAAGGAAGAACTATAGCAATTATACATATTCAAGTTCCTCTCTATATTTCTGCCCGACGTCTGTATATAATTGAGATTTGAATTTATTGACTTTAATTTCTAGATCATCTAGTCGTCCGGCGGGGGGCATGGCGGGGGGCCGAAGGGCAGGGAAGAAAGGGGGGGGGGATAGGAGAATAGGAGACGGGGACAGCGGAGATAGGCGGTGAGTGGGGGTTGGAGGGAAGAAAGACAGGAGGGAGGAAGAGAAATAGAAGAAGAGAAGTGGAGAGAGATGGGTTAGGAGGCAGAAGGGGGGGGGGGGGACACGAAGAGGAGGAATGAGAAGGGGGGGTGGGGGAGAAGAGAACCTAGAGAGAGCATGAAATACATATGGATTCAATACACTGTGGAGAGACGGGTGGTCCGGGCGGGCGGTGTGTAAATAATCAATAAATATTGAGCATTATATCGCCGGTGGGAATTAAATCTCAGAATGATAATGTCCCGATCCAAACAGAGGGCGTTTATGCCTGTTCGTCTTAAATTACGAGTTGGATGCCGATGATAGAACGCCCCCTACCCCCCCCCCCTCAAACCCCACCGTCAACCCCCTCCTGTTCGAGAGAGAGAAAAAAAATCACCTGCAACAATACAAAACAATAAACCAATCACCAGGACATTAATAAACAAATCCTTACCTCCGAATGCACCCGCGACCTTCCTTCCCTCCTCCTCTCCCCCCCCCCCCCGCCCCGCTGCCCCTCCTCCCCCTCCAACCGCACCAGACCTAAGGGCGCTTTTGGTCATGAGAAACGGGCGGCCAGACACGCCCAGAGACGGTGACGGTGCTCCCATTCGGGTCCCGCTGCTCATAGGCCTATCCAAGAGCCCGTTTCGCCCTCACGATCCCATTTGGACTCTTCGTTGGGGGTATCTCATTCTAATTACAAGGCAGTTGCCATCCCAAAGTGAGGGTAGATGTATGTGCTCACTGGATTGTCTGTGTTTGTGTGTATGCATGCATTCACGCAAGCACGCACACAGCCACACGCGCACACACACATAAAAATAAATGTACATAATGCAGCCTTAACTTTAAAAAATCAAGACTGGATTAATGCCCCTCTCATGATAAATAAATAAATAAATAAATAAATATAAAAAGAAAGGTACGAATGAAAGTGAAGCTTCAGATCTCTCAGCCGAGGCCTCCTTTCCCCCCTCCCCCACACACGAAACCCCCCATACACTCATTCGCCCCACCTCTTCCCCAACCCCCCTCCTCCCCCGCCTTCATCTCGACTAGGTGACCTCCGACCACCTTCCTCCGGTGGCCTTGAACCAATGCTCTTTGAACAAGGTCACGAAACTTCCCAAGCACACGACCGACTGACAACGACTCTTCTTCTTCTCCCCTCCCCCTTCTTCATCTTCATCTTCTTCATCTTCCCTCAAGATCTTGAGAAACCCGACTGCTTGCCGCATCTCCTCTCCTTCTGAGGCGCTTGCAAGCAAAAACTGGTCGTGACGTAATGGCTCGCCAGAGAGAGAGAGAGAGAGAGACGTAAGCAAGCATATCTGTGTGTTAATGTGCGTCGGCTTTGTCGTGTTAATGATCCAAGAAAATATAGAGATAATCAATGGCGAAAAAGGAATGACAATGGTAATAAATATAATGGAAAGGATAACGACAACAATCTCAACGATGATCACGCTACTAATAACACCACGATAACCCCCGCCCCCTAGAAAACAAATAAAAAAACACCTTAGCCAAACAAATTAAACACCAAAAACAACAACGTAATAGTCTTTATCTAAGCATCGCAACCGCCCAGGCCGGCCTACCCACCTACCTCCACCCCCCCATCCCCTTGGCACCAGGTGGGAGAAGGGAAACAGACACACACAGAGAATTCAACTAACAATTAAGGAGGCACCTGGTCATTATCTCCAAACAAGCACAGAACAGGGTCACACAGGGGAGGGGAGGGGAGGAGAGGAGAAGGGAAGGCCGGGGGATGGGGGAGGTGGGTATGATGAGTGGGGGCGGAGGGGGGGGGTAGAGAGGGTGCATCGTCCCTTGGCTGATCAATATAGGCGGGAGTCTGGCACCCTCGACTAATCACCGCCTAGGCCTACATTTCCGTCTGTCTAGGCTGGAAGGTTGGCGGCGGCGGCGGCGAGACACATTTGGGCCTATGCTTATTATCATTCTCTTGTGGGTCGCTGTCTGTTTCTCAGCTCCGACTGCATCGGTTCGTTCTGTTATGAAACACTCTCTAATAAATCCAACGTTGGCAGCGACTGTTACCCAATGTGTGTGCGTGTGTGTGTGAGAGAGAGAAAAAAAATATATATGAAACAAGCAATACCAAGCCCACCCCCTCCCCCAAAATCAAATTAATAACAAGAAAATAAATAAAACCAAGGACTACCGACAAAAAAAAAAAAAAAATCCTCGAACCTCGCACCGCAGGCTCCTTCAGCGCCGGGAACGTATCGGCGGTGTTCTTCCGGCGCGAATCATTACCATCGGCCGCACACGAACACCGCCTCCCTCATTACCCGCTATTGCACTTGCATCAAAAATATTTCGCGGCAAATGGCGCATGACTACCAAAAGAATAACATTCCCTATCGATTGCGGGACAAAGGAGGAGTAGAAAGACTTGCATTTGGTTTAAGAGCTGGTCGGTTGTGTTGCTTGGGGGGGGGGGGAGAGAGAGAGAGAGAGAGAGAGAGAGAGAGAGAGAGAGAGAGAGAGAGAGAGAGAGAGAGAGAGAGAGAGAGAGAGAGAGAGAGAGAGAGAGAGAGAGAAGAAAACAAGAGAATATATTAAAGGAAAATCAATTGTACATCTGACTTGCGTCTCAGTGCTAAGTAGAACTTCGGATCTGCCAATGAAGTCTGCGATTTTCCGAACGAAGAGAAGAGGGAAGGAGAGGGGAAAAAGCCGAGAGTAAAGATGATGAGGGAAAGATGCTGGACGAGACGTATTTCCCCTCCCCGACGCTGGTCCATAGTAGGTTACGTTCTTAGACCAGGGCTGGAAGGGTTAACGCACTGCGATGGCAACACCATCTCGTTTATTGACATTATTATTCTCCCCTTTAATCCAACGCTTTTATCTCCCCTCTTTTTTTCCCACGTGTCTTTTGGAACCTGAAAACGAGTGTGAAAGAAGAGAGAAGAAAATAGAAGAAAATGTCGCCCGAAAACCGCCACGGAGCAATGAATAATAAGCAACCCCGCGCAAGCTATATGGCATCGCTGCCCCATCGCCTACGCACGATGCAACGCTTTCCCTGATTGGTTCGCGCCCGGGAGAAGTTAGTAAGATGAGATGAGATTGGCTAAGGCGGTTCATTAACGCTGATATGCCTGGACGCTGGCAGATAAATAGCCCTCGGTCAATACTACTCAGACGATGGGAAAAACTCGCATCTTGGGACAAAGACGCCAGAAGACTTGTAAACATCTTTCCCTTCTCTCTCTCTCCCCCCCCCCCCCACTCCCTCGCTCTCCCTTCGCCGTCCCTCCGCCTCGTTTAGCTACCATTTCTTTCTCTCTTTCTCTCTCTCTTCCAATCTCCCCGGCTCTTCAGTGTCCTTTCGTATTATCTGGCATTTTAACACCATTAGAATTGAATTTAATGGTAAGCCGCATTTCATCCCAGATGACGTCCCGCCAACGCAAAAGAGTAAACAAAAAACAACAAATACACAAAGCAAAGACAAACAAAATCAAAGCTCAGGTACTAACAAACACGTAACGGAGATACAAACACACAGCGGAGGCATAAAACGAACACAAAGCGGACACACAAACAAGCACAACTCGGACAGTCACACAAACACAAACAAACACAAGTCGGACACAACTACACACAAACACACACACACACACAAATCGGACGTACAGACACTCAACCAGTGATGATCAGCCTACGGTATCTCGCGGCGCACCTTGTCCTAAGATTAGCTAACAAGAGTAACGGGGAAAAGCAAATTACCTCTCCGTGTAGTGATGGCGGCCAGGGCTTCAGCGAACGTACCTGTTGGGAGACAAAACATTATGCCACAAACACACGTCATGTTAAACTAAACCCGACGTATCGATTCGATGCTACGTACGTTACCGAGATTATGTATGCAAATGGTGTAACTGTAACTGTAAGAAAAAAAAGGTAAAATGAGTGAAAAAAACAATCAAATAAAAAATAATGTAAATGAATAGCTGTAAGATTCGATTAATGAATGAATGTAGATAAGAAAGAACATTAGTGCAAAGCAGGATAATCTCATTTACACTGAATGCCATGGTATGGGATGAACTGGTCTACTTCAACAATAATACATGTGTTTTGGGCCGATAAAGACATGCTCCCAAACCGTATTATCTAATCTATCGCATGTAAACACAAAAATACTCTACTATCTCATCTTTTTCTTCCTAACTACATTATATCGCAATACCACAAACACAGCAGCCCGTCAGCTAAAGTGCAGAATAAAACGGGGTTTATTTGTCGACACTATGTGAAGTATTTGTGAGTGTCTTGACTTCAAAAACTGACATTGGTTTAAAAACATTCAAATAAATCTATAATCTGCTTCGGCCCCCATTCCTGCCACCAGGATAAACAATCAGAATACGACATAAAAATCGAAGAAGGGAATGGGAAGAAGGGAGGAGGAAAGGGGCAGAAGGATGGATGGAGAAGTAGGGAAGTGGAGGGGGGGAGGTGAAGAAGAAACGGAGGGAGAGGGAAAAATGGGGAAAAAAACGAGAGATGAAGAAAATATGGAAGAGTGGAAAGAGGATTAAAAAGAAAAGAAGGATGGGGGAGAAAAAGTAATAAAGAGAAAGAATGAGAGGAAGAAAGGGAAGAAGGTGTGGAGACGCGGCGAGGGAAGGGAAAAGAAAAGGAAGGAAGGGGAAAGAGAGACAGGCATAGGGAGGGGAATAAAAATGGGAACGGGGTGGGGGGGGCGGGGAGCAGGGGGGGAAATAGGGGACTCACTGCATTATCCTTTACCTCAAGATAAACAAGTAACGCCCGCCTTAGTGCCGAAAGCTCCACAATAAACCCACTTTGAGCACGTTCACGCCCCGGGGAAAAATAAATAATTCCAGATAAATCACAACACCGTGTACATTTGTCAGTCGTCAATACAAAGAAGAAGAAGAAGAAGAAAAAAAATCATTTTGGTGTACTTGTATGATTTTTTTTTCTTCTCTCTCCCTCCCTCCCTCCCTCTCTCTCTTAAAGATAAACACTTTTTATTTTAACTAAAAAAATGAGATTCTCGTCTGTTATTTCAAAATAGGAAATAAATTAAATCATACACGTGCAAACAAGCGTAAAACAGTCGTCTTCACAGTGAAAGAAATAACGCATAATTTAGCACCTTAAATGAGGTAGTGAGAGTCACATTCAGCCGCCACTTGCCATGGGTAAACAGAGAGTCACCTTAAAATGTTGTTTTCGACGAGTTATTCCCATTTTCTTGCCCGCGACTCGTTTTCTTTCTCTCTCTCTCCCTTATTCTGTTTCGCTTGGTTTTGTTTTAATCAACTGCGTCTCATGTGTCTTGTTATATTTCTGCTTTATTTTTATTTGTATCTGATCCGATCCTAGAAAATTTGGGATTTGAGAGAGAAGAGGAAGGAAACAAATCAAAACAGAACCAAAATAGATATAAAGCAAAGAAAAAACAACAACAACAACAAAAGGAAGAAACGGCGAAAAGCAAGAATGGAAAGGAAAAAAAAAAAAAAGACTGAAAAAAATACTTAAGCGGAAGAAGGAAACATCTCAATGCAAATAAATAATCACAACAAGAAAACCGTATAATGAACACAAAAAGAAAAAAAAAAAGAAAGAAAAGAAAAGAAACAGGTAAAAATTATTAATCGTCAAGCTACCCGCGCGCCGAATACATACGCTCCTGCACTCTGCCGGCCGCGGTCCCTGCCGTCGATAATTCCACGAAGCTTTTTGCGTCTGAAGCCCCGGTCACCACAAGGAGGGGAGGAGGGGAGAGGGAGGGGGAGGGGAATGGGAGGGGAGAGGGAGGGGGGGAGGGAAGGAGGGGAGAGTGGTAGGGGGAGGAGGTGAGTGTAGGGGGAGTATGGGAGGAGGGGAGTAGGGGAGAGGGAAGAGAGAGAGGGAGAGAAAGAGAGAATGGCTTGGGAGGGGGGGGGGGGGAAAGTAGCGCATCCTTCCCTAATTTCATACTTGCAACATTTTATAATTCAAAGCGATTTCTAGCGAATTTCCTGCGAGGGTTTGGGATAATAAACACTTTTGGGGGGGGGAGGAGGCGGAGGAAAATAAGGAAGGGAAAGGGAAGGGAACGTGAACAGGGAGGGGAAGGGGAGGGCAACGTGAAGGGAAGTGGAGGAGGAGGAGGAGTGTGGAGGGGAAGAGCGAGGGTGGGGGGGGGGTGGAGGGAATGGAAGGCTACATATCATAGATTATGGATACATTTATTAACCGCATCAGATAGTACTGAGGATATGGGACCTTGCAATTTGAGCAGCATTATGGCCGCCTTGCATTAGCATCAGTTATGGGGACATTGTGTTTATTTCGCTCCAAGAAACCCTCGTGCGTGTAATGAGAGGTCTTCCCAAAGTTATCAGTTTGAGGAATCTAGTTCACTTTCTTTCCTCCTGTCCGCCACTTGCCATGGGTAAACAGAGAGTCACCTTAAAATGTTGTTTTCGACGAGTTATTCCCATTTCTTGCCCGCGACTCGTTTTCTTTCTCTCTCTCTCCCTTATTCTGTTTCGCTTGGTTTTGTTTTAATCAACTGCGTCTCATGTGTCTTGTTATATTTCTGCTTTATTTTTATTGTATCTGATCCGATCCTAGAAAATTTGGGATTTGAGAGAGAAGAGGAAGGAAACAAATCAAAACAGAACCAAAATAGATATAAAGCAAAGAAAAAACAACAACAACAACAAAAGGAAGAAACGGCGAAAAGCAAGAATGGAAAAGAAAAGAAAAAAAAAAAACTGAAAAAAATACATAAGCGGAAGAAGGAAACATCTCAATGCAAATAAATAATCACAACAAGAAAACCGTATAATGAACACAAAAAGAAGAAGAAGAAAAAAGAAACAGGTAAAAATTATTAATCGTCAAGCTACCCGCGCGCCGAATACATACGCTCCTGCACTCTGCCGGCCGCGGTCCCTGCCGTCGATAATTCCACGAAGCTTTTTGCGTCTGAAGCCCCGGTCACCACAAGGAGGGGAGGAGGGGAGAGGGAGGGGGAGGGGAAGGAGGGGAGAGGGAGGGGGGGAGGGAAGGAGGGGAGAGTGTAGGGGGAGGAGGTGAGTGTAGGGGGAGTATGGGAGGAGGGGAGGAGGGGAGAGGGAAGGGAGAGAGGTAGAGAAAGAGAGAATGGGTGGGAGGGGGAGGGGGGGGAAGGTAGCGCATCCTTCCCTAATTCATACTTGCAACTTTTATTAATTCAAAGCGATTTCTAGCGAATTTCCTGCGAGGGTTGGGATAATAAACACTTTTTTTGGGGGAGGAGGCGGAGAAAAATAAGGAAGGGAAGGGAAGGGAAGTGAAAGGGAGGGAAGGGGAGGGCAACGTGAAGGGAGTGAGGAGGAGGAGAGTGTGGAGGGAAGAGCGAGGGTGGGGGGGGGGTGGAGGGAAGGGAAGGCTACATATCATAGATTAGGATAATTTATTAACCGCATCAGATAGTACTGAGGATTATGGGACCTTGCAATTTGAGCAGCATTATGGCCGCCTTGCATTAGCATCAGTTTAATGGGGACATTGTGTTTATTCGCTCCAAGAACCCTGTGCGTGTAAATGAGAGCTTCCCAAAGTTATCAGTTTGAGGAATCTAGTTCACCTTCTTTTCCTCCTTCGCTCTATTATGAGACGTATATATATATTTTTTTTCGTGTGTTTTTAGGATTTAAGGTTAATTAAAGGTTTTACGTTGTGGTACTTTTGTTGTTGTTGTTGTTTTTGTTAGTGTTTGTTTTTCCCCTTGGTTTTCTTTCTTAGGCCTAACAAAGTGTTGCTCCTTATCTCTCGATATCTGTTTTTAGCCTATATGTTTTTTTTTTTTCTTCCTATTCCTCTTCACGCCCACCCACCCACCCACCCGCACGATCACACCCTTACCGCAACAACCCCACCCAACCCCCAAATCCTCCCACCCACCCACCCACCCACCCATCGCCTATCGTCTTTTTCTCTCTCTCAATGCTAATGCCGAGGAGGCCTAAGACAACAGTGTAATATATTCACCCTCCCGGCCGACGAGATTCACCCTCGACTCACCCTCGGCTCGTCCTCGGCTCGCCCTCGGCCGCCGGATTGCCTCTCGCTTTGTCGCTCGGATTTCTAGATTTTTCTCGTCTCTCAGGGCTTCCGGGCCTTATTTTGGGCTGGGGGGTGGGGTGGGGTGAGGGGGGTTGTGGGGTGAGGAGGGTAGGGGGTGCTGTGGGGTGAGAGTGGGAGAATTGTGGGGGTGAAGATGAAAGTAGGGGTTGATTGGATAAGGGTGAGGGTTGGAGGGTAGGTGTGGGGTAAGTGTGAAGGAGAAGAAGAAGGAAAAGGAGAAAGAGGAAGAGAAGAAGGAGAAAGAGGAAGAGAAGAAGAAGAAAGAGGAAGAGAAGAAGAAGAAAGAGGAAGAGAAGAAGAAGAACGAAAGAGGAAGAGAAGAAGAAGAACGAAAGAGGAAGAGAAGAAGAAGAAAAGGGAGAGGAAGAAGTAGAAAATCTAATCCTCCGACGAAAAGAGGGGGGGAAACAAAAAAAAAAATGTTTGTGAGTATCAGACACACGTGAGTAAACCAAGGAGGTGAATGAATAAAGAGATGAGGAGAGGAGAGTTTTTTAAGGTTATTTCGAAAGCTTACTCACCGCGTCGACGGGAGAAGGAAGAGGGGGAGGGGAGTGAGAGGGGGAAATGAAAATAAGGAGAAGAGAAGGAAGAAGATGAAATAGGTGAAGGAAGAAGGACAGTAAGGAGGAGGAGGAGGAGGAGGAGGAGGAGGAGAAGAAAAAAGAGAAGAA